AAAAGCTTAATATTGTATTATAAAAGCCTCATTGAGAAATATCTAATTATTAGGACCTTGACCACTGGGAGGGCATCATGTGGCTGGTTTCATCTTTGTCGGGATGTTATTCTCAGATGTTATAGATGTTGGTCTATGAGGTTTGGACTAGGAATTGAACTCATGGAACTTTATACTTTAAATGACCATATACAGTGCTTTAGCTTTAGGAGCTATCTAAGCTCTAGTGGTCAATGGTTGCAGGTAATATACAGTACATATACATACATACATACATACATATTTGTTTTCTGAGGTTTTTACGGGTATTTGTATGTAGGTCTTTGGTTATTCGGGTTTTCTCCCGCGTAAAATTGAAAGGGCAGAGAAAACCCAAATAACCAAAGACCTACATATATATATGATTCTGATAAAACTTCCAATTATTAGGGAGTGAATTCCATTAAGAAGGGATATATTCTTTAACAGCCGAACACGGCATAGTGTTTGGCTGTTAAAAAATTCTCAGAACGAGCAGTGAATGGCATTTATTTGGGGGATTTGTTTGTATTTTGTTGAAATGCTCCTGGTTTTATTTTAATCAGTAGCCTTTCTTAGAAAGATCTGGCAGGTTTTGAACTGTAAAGGTCAAAACTATTCCACCTTTTTCTGAGTGAACTAAAATTGTTTCAAGTTATTTCTTGATCTTCCCATTCTACCTAGAAAAGTTATTTATTCATATAACAACCGTCTTTAATCGTGCTTTCTTAATTCCTTGACACTCCGTTCCTTGGGAACTTCCAAAAAATCTACCTGAGATGGTGTGATTGTTCAAACTAATGTCTCAGCTGCTACTTCAAGAATATATAGAGAAGAAATAATCCATTAATGTCAAAGAACAGTAAATATCATTTGCCCTAATATGTAGCCTCCCTTCCTTCTCCATTTGCACCAACCATTAACTTGGATCAAATATAATTTCAGTGTATTTCACCCAAGCAGAATGACATCTCACTTGTACCAAATGACTATTGGGACAAAGATAATGGAAAAAGGAAGTTTCAGCTATAGGAAAATGGCTTTTTTCTGTAGAAAACTAGTATAACTCTAGTCCAGATCAGCTACACCTTCTGTACTGAGCCAATTATATCTTCTGCATTAGTGTTTCCTGGCAATGAAAGTAGCTAGATAAAGGACATCTTCAGCTTTCCTCAAAGCTTGAAATTCTATATCCTAGATCAGAGGTCCCCAACCTTTTGGGCACCAGGGACCGGTTCTGTGGAGAGAGGTTTTTCCACGGACCAGAGGGGGCGTGGTTTCCTGTACTGCCTGCATCCTGCGGATGGGGCTTTGCTCGTTTGCATGGTCCGGTTGCTGGCATGCTGAGGCCCAGTGCTGGTCCACAGACCGGGGTTTGGGGACCCCTGTCCTAGATTAATGAGCCTGAGGTCAAAATCCATATTCATTCAACCAGAATTAATAACATTTTCCCAGTCAAATTGTAAATCATGTTTTAGCAGTAAATTTCTTATACAAAACCTTGATGATCAAATGTTTTGAAAGTCTGAATCTTGCTTGGCATTCAAATGATAGTTTTTCCCCAATATTCAAGAGTAAAATGAAATCAAACATATGAAAGCATCAGACTCCAACCAAGGTATTCTCTTTGGTAGATGAATTTAAAGAAATTGTTTCCATGCCATAAATTAGCATATCATAGAATTTTTGAAACTGGATACTAATCAGACTAAGCAGCGCTAATTATCTATAATAATTGCCAGTTGTCAGGGATTGAGTCCAATTCAATGCCATCTTACATCAATAAATTTTGAAAAAATGGGAATATTGCAGTGTTAATAATTTTAGTTCTAATCATAGCGGTCCTCTCTCCGCTTCTGTTCAATATTTATGTGAAGCCGCTGGGGGAGATCATTCGTGGCTTTGGGGTGGATTTCCATCAGTACGCTGATGACACTCAGTTGTACATATCCACCCCGGGCCACCCCAACGATGCCCTTGACGTGATGACCCGGTGTCTGGAGGCCGTGAGGGTCTGGATGGGGAGGAACAGACTCAG